ATAAAGACAGACGTTTCTGTTAATATTCTGATTCACTAATACAAAAAGTACCAAATCTCGTCTTATTGGGGACTTCCCCGTACTCCGTTTGCAATTAAGATTTCATTCAGCAACCAAAATGCACCGAATTGGATTTCGGCTGAATTTAAGCCCTGCGAACTATTTATAAAGCTAACTATTTTACATTTTTCATCCTTTTGTAATTACATGTTGAAAGTATTAAAAGGGCGCAAATACGCATTCAGCGATGGTCTCCGAACTAAACTCATATTCATCGAAGCGAATTCATTATGTGATGACAAAACAAAAGTGAAATCTGAATGTTATAATACATTTTTGTTGCTTACTTATATATAACATTTGTTGCACATATATATGCTGAAAAACTAAAATTTGTTACATTAAGTTCGTCTGAAAAATAATACCGTTCAAACGTGAACGCATCCAATCCTTAACTGCATCGATATGAAATTTTGTATGGGTTTTGTAATGAATTATAAGTGCAATGTTTAGAGAAATAAAATTTTTTTTCAAAAAACCATGCTCACTTAATGTCCCTCTGTATGGATTTTCTGCGATGGAATTAAGGTTTACCCAAGCTAGAAAAACCATTTCTTAACAATGATCGTTCTTGTTGAAAACTAAAATTTCTTAATACTGAGGGGAGGAGAAAGAGAAATAAAACTTATCGTTTAAATATATCAGTTAACGTCTGCGAATTACAGAAATTCCTTACTGATTGAATAAAGGTTTACTTTTAAGCAGCAAATGTATGAAAACATTCTACCTTTTATATTAAGTGGGTACTCAAAATTAGTAAAGAAATAACCTTGTATTTAGCGTAGATTAGCAAATTAAAATCACAAGAGAAACACGCCAAAGTGAAACTCAAAGTTAACAAAGAAACAACCTTGTTTTTAGCGTTTATTTAGACAAAAATCTCAATCAATTTCGAGGGCAAACAGGTCTCTCTTCATTATATGGCGCTGCCTCCGTGTTCGCTTACTGCATAAATAGGACCGTTACGTCCAGTGCTTTTCCAGTCTCACAAATTTCTTTGATCCTGATGAAGATGGACCTTTTTGAACTCAATCGATTGTTTTTTTTTTTTTTTTTTTTTTTTTTTTTTCCTAAATCATCGCCAAATACAAGGTTGTTTGTTTGCTAATTTTATGTCATGCGTATATTAAATATTCACTACATAGTGTAATAACCAAGCCTCGAGAAAGAGACAACCAGTTTTACTGGAATGTTATGATGGCATATTCGATTAAGTTTTAATTCGTATAATGCTCTTTGTTTAAGGTATAGTTAGCGAATTAAGCTCTTTGATGTTCTTTCTGAGCAGGTACGTGAAACATTTCACCAGAGCCCTTTATACCTTATCGCAGTTTAAGTACAGCATTCAGCAAATAGCATTAGTACGCTTTTTTATTGAAATCCTGGGCTTAATGCCATTGAAAAGCTTATAAAGAGAGATCATAAGAGCAAATTCAGATATTGACTTATTTAAGAAATGACAAAAGGGATTCAGTTTCACTTTTGCGTGTTTCTCTTCTGATTTAAAGCACGTACTTTGTGTAAACTGCCGTATAATGTCAAGAAGATCTTAAAAATTATGTTCACAAAAATTTTATTTAAATTTACAACTTTACATTTATTTTATTAAAAATAACAGTTTGGGGAACGCTGAATAAAGTGTTACTCCTTTCTTTAAATCACTTAAATTTTGGGAAAACACCCGAACAGTTTCATTACATTTCAAATGATGCTAAAAATATATGAACTGTGGTGTGAATTGCTGAATGTAAATAAACTGATATCGAAATTCGAAGTACTAAAAATCTATCATTAAAATTTTCAGTACAGAGAAATTACCTTTGATGATAGTCAAAATATCTCATCTAGATTATCAAAAGTTGCAAATAATTACCAAAAATTTCAAATAATTGTTGTAAAAAAGTTGTTTCATAAAATATTGACTTACGAGAGCTAATAACTGAAATAGTTTTCATAAAACAGAAAAATACTTTCTCAAACACCGTATATTAGTTCATTTTACTTCGTGGTTGTTAGTTCATTTCTTAGTTATTTTCAACATTGTGTTTTATAAAATAATCGGTTGAAAGCATTTTAATCATAAGGAACGAAATTAGTAATGCAGATATACTAATTAGTGACTTCAAAATGTAATTTTTCCTATATCATATATTTTGAAGAAGAAAAAATATAACCTTTCATACTTTTAGAGACAGCGCATGCTGAGGTCGTCTAGCTTGCGGGAAAGTATTTTAGAGTTTCCAAGCATTATAAATCACAGTAATATTATTACATATTGAGTGACAGAAATGCTGTACTAGACTGACAAATAAAACAGATGGAATTGTTCTTTTCATACACATTTCTGAACAATTCCAATCAAGCAAATAACGGAAATTAAGAAAACATAAATAAATTACTTTGCAACAGTTTTTATATTTAAAAAATTTACTGCCAGCTTAGCCAAAGCATTTGACTGGTAGAAATGATTTTTGAAAATAAACAAAAGAAGGTTACGTTTTCTCTTTCCGAAGAAAATCATTATCGTTTTTCGATACAAAACTTTGTAGGAATTTTGTGTCAGGATATCTACGGAGATAGACGACGTCGTCCATAACAAAGAAAAAAATCGACAATGACTGCTTTTCAAAAAGAAACAGAACGCCGTATATTTACCCATAGAAAGAATATTCTTCAGAGACCCTTTAAAAATTAAATATGGTGCTTTAATAGTGGAAATAACCTTCTCAAAGGGTAATACCGTGAGTTCTTAATGTCTTATCTTCTGTGAATATATAAAAAAATTAAATTTTTAAAATAGTATAATATTCATTATTCTTTGCTTGCGACATATGGCATAGCATAAAATCCAATGAAGATTATTTTGGTAAATTGTTCAACAATGTAAAAAATTAAAAATTTTTGCGACTCGTAATGAAACATGGCTATGTTCTATTGCTTTTAACAAATAATTTACTATTATAAAGAGGAGAGAAATTATTTAATATTAAAAGTTTAAAGGAAGTTTCAGAAAAGAGTTTATGTTTATAACTAATTTCTCATATAACGGGAAACTAAAATTAAAGAGTCGGAAGAAAGGCTAAACTTATTTCTACATATAATCAAAAACAATATTTTGTGCCCATATTTAAATAAGAAATCTTGTTTATCTATATGGATAGCCTAAAAAAGTAAAACTTCACAAAACCACGAGTTACATGTCAATATGTATAAATAAGTTTTTAGAAAAAATGGACACTGGTATAAAAGATGTAACCTTTCACAGTGTTCCAGGGAAGTATTCTGATTCGGCAATGAATATTAGTATGCTTTTGCACTGTTAAAAAGGGGCACGTTCTACACGTCAGACGAAGACTTCGAATGGATTGTAGAAAGCAGTACAAGAGAAATGTAATAAAATTAAGAATTAATTTTAGTTTTCCCAATAAAATTAAAAAGTGTCCTTATAGAAATCAAGATTCAGATTAATGATTAATTTGTCAGAATTTTTAATTAAAAATTACGTTTGTATTACAATTAATCGCTTTGCTGCGTTAACGACATTTAAAATATACTGAGAACACTCTTCTTATTACATATTGAGAACTTGTTATGCATTGTTATGTATATTATTTATGCATAACAGGTTCTTAACTATATTACCCTAAACAGATCTGTTTAGGGTAATATAAACGATACGTTGACTTCTTGTTTAATATTTCTGTGGTTTATTAATAAGCTGCAGTCATTTTCTCACTAGTTCATTTCAGACGTCTTTTTTAGTGCTTTTTTTTTTTTTTTTTTTTTTTTTTTTTCGAAACAAAGGCTGTGGTTTCGACTACCGAGTAAGGCTTTGCGCTTTGTCTTCTTCCCTCCTTATGGATGTGATATCCGTTATTACTTGTAATGCACCTGTGATTCAAGTAGGCATCAACGTGTATTTTAGAACATCTAGTTCTAGCAGAATAAAAAGATTTATAATACTTGAGAGTTATTAATTTATCGAAACTATTTGAAACGTAAGAAAGAATAAAAAGATTTCATTTCTGACAGCTCTTCTACATTAAATTTTATGTCATGACACAAAAATGGATGCAATAAATTTAATATTATAAATTTAACGCCTTTTTAAATAATTCTAACGTTTTAAGCATTCATTTTACATTTGATTTCATTTCATTGATATAGATACAACTTTTACTATTATTTGCATTAATTTGTGATGTTACTTTATTTTCTGCTAAGGGAATTTTTTCAGAATACTTGTCATTTATTTGTGACGTTTCGAGGTTGCAAATTTTATTATATATAATTACTTTTTAATCATTTTACTTTATTTTTAACCATAACTTTCAATTATTTTCATGTCGTATAATAAATTTATTACGTAATGCAGCAAAGCAGAGAGATGGAAAAGCATTAGCTTTTAAAATATAATATACAAAGCCTCACTTTGCATTGAAATGGCAATGATCAACTTCTAATAAACTTATATACCATTTAAACTTTTCTCAGGTTGTTGATGATAAATTATTTTTGTAGCTTAACTAAGAGTGTATAATTATAACATTTAGAAGCATCGGGTACTTTTCAAATGGTTTCGATAAATTAATAACTCTCAAGTATTATAAATATGCTCAATTGTTTCATCACGAAATAATTTAGCTCCCGCTCTCTAAATATTACTTTGTTTATCTTATAGTTACGAATATCTAATTCATTTGACAATGCAGGTTAAACATACTATTTGATAATTTCAGATTAAATATACTATTTAATAATATCATTTTGTTTTTCTTATAGTTATAAATAACGAATTCCTTTGATAGTGCAGGTTAAATACGTTATTTAATAATTTCTTCTGTCCTGCAGTTTTCGTACTGAAGTTTGACGAACCCTTAATAAAAGAATCTGAGTAGCATGCATTACACGGCAGTGCATTGTCGCAATGACCGTTACTGCAAGCACGGATTAGGATCCGGAATCGAGACTTCTCCTTCCTGGAAGGAAATGACGTTACAAAAACATTTCCGAACGAAACGGTTGTGGAAAGAGTGCGTACTATTTACTATTCATAAGTGATAAGTGAGAGCAGTCGACAACGAAGAAAGAGAGCAGCTATCATGGATATTCAGCATATTCTGAGGGAAATAATCTGTTTATTTACTATATTTAGTCTTGGTAAGTCTGTTATACTATCATAATTCCTTTTTATTATAACTACCAGTAAAACTGGAGAAATTTAGTACAGATGTAATGAATAATAAAATATAAATTACAGATTTAATATCCCCATGTATTGTTTAAAGATAAGATTAATTTTTTATGTAGATTTAATTTCAAAAGCACTTTATGTAAAATGCGTTCTGAAATTTAAAAAAAAAAATAGTCCTTTCGTTTTTCTTTACTTTCTGCTTTCAGTGAATATTTTAAAACAATAAAAATATATTACTCTACGTAGACACTAATCTAAGATGGCTTTATTTATCAGGAGATCCCACAATATGGGAGGTCTTCTGCAAGTTAACCTTCAGACGGTTGCGAGATTAAGCAATTCTTTCTTCTCAAATGCTCTCGATATTTGTCAGTTCTAAAGTTGTAACGCGAGCTGTGTCCTTTTGCGCCTAGTTATGTGGGTAACTGGAAAGTCAGCTGAGCTCGTGAATGACTATCAAAAGGTTAAAAAGTTGGTCTTACACGTGTAAGATGATTATGTTGTTGTATTACATGTAATATTTTAAGTACAAAGTGTTCAGATTATTATAAGTGGATCGCACATTTAAAAGTGCAGAATTCTCTACCTAATTCCTTTTGCAGTAGCATGGTTCTTCGATTTCTTTATTGCTTTATTATGTGTACGAAATTTATAAACAGTATTTTTTAGATGTTAAAGTGACTTGATGAGTCGTGTGCAGCTGAAGAACATGATCGCATTTGTATTGCGCCTTTGATTATTATTTTGATATTGTGAATAATTTATTATATCAGTATTAAGAAAGCAGTTTTCTAGCAGAATACTATGTTAAGTTAGTGAAAACTTTTCCTGTAAATTTGAAAAGGAAGCACTAGTCAGCAGAAGGGAAGGTGAAAAAAACATTTCCGAGAAATTGGATTAATCTTGAAAGATGAAACATGATTGTGAGAGGTTTGCTTTAACAGCAAACACTGAGGTGACATACAGTGATAACTCTTATAAGACCTCCTCATAAATCCTTGCAGTGATTAAATCTGGCAATTCATTGTCTTTCTACAGGGTGATGAACGTCATTCATGCAGTAAGACATATCAGACAGCATATTCTTGAATGTAAATGTTGAAGTAAATCTGGCATTAGAAACCTTACCTAAGGTACAGCGACCAAGATCTCAGCATCTTAATAGCTAGATTATTGTCATTGGGACATTTAAAACAAACTGTAAATAGTTTACATATTTTAAAAATGTTTATAATAAATACCATTGCTCCATTCAGAGTACATAGATACACTATGGTTACTTTTGCTAAGAATTTGATGAAATATGTGGGTAACCACACTGGATTGGTGAAATGCCATTTCCAACATATAGGATAAAGAAGTGTCTGATAAACATTTTGTTTGATAGGTCCATTTTTAAACTGAATATCTTGTACCTAAGTTTGTTGCTTTGATTTGTTTTAGAAAAAAAGCAATTAAAGTTGCCAAATAGAATAGGATCTCTCTTAACTGGCAGCAGCAGTTTCTCGCCAATTTCGGAGATAAGACTTTTCCCGATAATTGGATATATTTTTCTAGAATTCCGGAAGCTGTTATGCCATTTTAAACGTTTCAGCGTTCGACGTTTGTTGGTCATGTTTTTCGATCTATTGAAGTTAATTATATAAATAATATCGAAAATCTCACAGATTATTTAAACTTAAATCTTACAAATGATTTTATATTCCAGAAAAACAAAACTAAACCACGTTTTATAATTACAACATGTATTATCACATAAATTTTATCAATTTCTTAATACGATGAAATATAACTTCAAAGAGCTTCCTGCTTTTAAAATTGTTGCCAGAGTTTTAAAAATTTGCTGAATATACAATGAAACTCCATAACATTATGTGCTCACAGACTTGAAGCTTTCTCGGTCATTCTTATAAAACTGCACAATTAATTTTCAGCTTCCGTTCACATAACTTTCTTGCTTTATGTGTTCCCTTCATCTTCATCCTTCTCTTCTCATCATTATTCTCTTTCTCATTCTCCAGTACAAGTCCCACTATTTCATCGTCATTCTGAGAGAGCGTGATGAAAACAAAATTGTCTACATCCACTCAAGTAGGCACCTCCTCTTCACTAATAACTATATGCGAACTCGTAAATCGAAGGTATAACATACGGGAGCCAGACGTGCTTTGAAACCAAGAGAATTTTCATTTCTAGAATTGTCATCTATGAGCATGAGCATAAGCCACAATTTATGCCAACAGAGCCGTAAATTAATGCTCTTTGTATCTTTCCAGGCAAGAGATTAAGTAACAAATATCTTTCCCATTTAATTCTTTAAATTATTAGTCCATTGCAAATATTTTATATTATGGGTCTAAATGTTGAATTTAAACTTATACTTACAAGAATGCCATTATTTTGATATCACAATTTAATTCGATACGAGATATTTTACTGTACATTAGCTTAGAATGTACTCTAAGGAAAAGTATTTTCAGTATAGTTAGGGAATAAGAGGTAGTTATGGGGACAGTACACCTTTAAAATAGTTGAAAATCGATTTTTAGGATTTTATTTCATTGAATAAATATTTTATTTTGAATAAATTGATATCATTCTTTTATTTCTGCTATAATAAATTTTCTGATTATAAAAAAATATAAGATTCGCTTCATTGTTTCTAATTTAAATATCTTATTTTTGTTACCATGACAGTTTTCTAATTATGCCGTCCATACCATAATTTTAGAGTTTTGTGAAAAGCTCTATTTTTAAAGCTTTTAATTAATTTACTGATGGCGTTTCTTGCTAAGGTCAAATATTTGTAAACGATTTTTAAACTATTTTCTGATGAGCTATCGAGCTCAGATTTTAACGTACAATCCTTGTGGATGATAATATAGTGAAAACGTCTTTGGTGAAGCAAAAGTCTGAAAATTCGATTCAGATTTTTTTAATGAATCTTGAAATGATTTTTTGCACATTTCGTTCTTTAAAGAAGAGTTTAAAAAAACCTAGAATTTTGCTTTTTGCACTATCGGATAGAGCAACAAAAAAATCTTTTAAATAGTGTTCATATGAAAGTTTGAACACAATTTTTGATGTTTTGGAAAATTTTTAAATTCGCTCGACTTTTGCGACTGTTTGAATTATTTTAAAATTTCAGCATCTAAAAATGTATCCGTTGTAGTTTTGAAATTTTCACTGATCATAAAATACACTCTTCGCCTTCTTTTAAAGGAAAATTATAGAAAGATATGAATTGGCGATTTTCTATATTTTTAAAAATATTTTACTCTATGACTTTAAGTATATGACGAAACTAGAGCTTCATTAGATGCCAAGTGGATCGCTGGGAATCGCAGTACGGGGTCATCATTATAAGTCACACTATTTTTCTTGCTTCCGTATACATTTCTTTCTTCACTCTTTTTAAAACAAGAATGATAACAAAAAATCATTTTTAAAGATAGATTTTTAAAACTGGGGGCATAACTCTACTAAATGTGGTCATTTATCTAAGAAAATGATTATTCGCAGTTAGTCAAGTATACGCTGCTCTTAGCAGAAGAAAGTTCTTAAAAATTCACCGAAAACAATCGTATAAGTATAATGCATTAAACAATATGAACAGAATGCAAGTACACGGTCTAAGATCAAATTCAATATTTTTATAGTGAATATGAATCTATTTATAGTCCTTTTATTTTAATTCAATTTAATTAATTCTGGTGGTTATAAACCAGATGTATGTGATTAAGAACATGTTAATGTTTAGTAAAATCTAGTAAAATGTTTGACTAGTAGATCTTTAAAGTTATAGATGTAAAAAAATTTTCATTGATAGTGGGAAAATAAATAAATGGAAGACTTTTAGTGTATTTCTGGGTGCGATCGAACTCGCATGAAAATATTCTCAGTTGATCTCTAAAATATAGTAGGCTTTAATTTTGTTTTGGTCATCAACGTGATGTTCATAAGACAGGCGTTTATTTAAAAGCATGTGTATTTTAACATTTATTTATTTTAGAAGACAATTCTAACTGTAAAACTATGACATCAAGACAATTTGCAAGACATCAAGACAAGACGGTTAAAATAATTCATGAATTTTTGTTTTGATTTTGCTTTAAAGAAAATATTCTGTATAACTGACTGATTTTACTCATATGCAAACTAAATGATTAATGCTAATTTATTATGCCAGTTTTAATCTGAGTTGAAGTCTAGATCGTTGTTATGGGAAGATTATACGATAGAATGTTGAAAAAAAATTGCAACTGTCTGAAGATTTTATTTTTTTATTTTAAGACTCTGTGTTTTTAAAAGTGAAACGTGGTTGCGTCTGCTGTTTTTTAAAAGAGGTGCGAACAAACGAAACAGTATAATAACAGGAGAAAGAAATGTAGTACAGAAATCTATTATTGTTGAAAAATAAGTTTAAATTACATGTAGAGAATCTTAAAAATATCTTGAAACATTAAAGCTTCGAAACTATTTCAAGAAATCACCGCATTTACTCTAAGGTGGAGCAAGGAAATATAGAAAGCTTTGTCAAGTAGGTATAAATCTCATTTTAATATCAGCCAAAAGGCCAGTTATAGCTTTGATAACAATGCTAAGTTATTTAGTGTCATTAAAATAAAAAAATCATGACAAATTTATAGTTTTGTAACTACACGAAAAGAAATGCTACTTTTATAAAATGCAAATGACAATATCTTCGATCTCGTCAAAGATTCAATTATATATAATATTAAATTTTGTATTATTGAGCTGTAATTTCAGTATAGTTAGGGATTTATTTCATTCAAGCAAGAAGAACTGAGAATAAAATTGTACTTAGTTATAAAGAATGTTTAATAGAATAACAAACCGAAAGACTTCGATCGGAAACTTTGTGACTTAGATTATTAGTATAGATGCATTTTTGCGAATGCTTGCTATATTAGCCTACAAACTTCCAATAAAACTGTAATAATTTAAAGAATCCAATAAGTGAGAAACTGACAGACCTACCAAAATCTACGTTCACAAGTTATTTAGAATACTCCTCACTAATCGTGGGCCGATATAAACTGCATTTTTAACACTTTAAATGATGAAAACATTTTAATGCACATTTTAAAAAATACTGAATGTTTTTCAGAAATCTCGAAGGTAGATGTTAATACAATTAAAGATTATAATATTAATGGCTGCATCCAGCAGTCATTCAGTAATGTGATATATTCATTGTACAGTTAGATATTTTATAGAAAAATATCCATGTTTCTGTATACCATGCACTATATACACTATATGCAACATTTCTTGCTTTCGGACCTTAAATAATATCCTATGGCTTTGTTTCTCACAGGATAATTAGTAAAGCAGCCACAATAATTGATAATGAGGATTCAAAAGTACATCTCGAATATTGTTAATAAAAAGTGATCAGGCAGCGAAAATGCTTTTATTTATTTTTTTTTTATTATTATTTATATTATTTATTACTATTATTGTTATTATTATTATTATTATTATTATTATTATTATTACTATTATTATTATTATTATTATTGTACTCACATCAACTCTCCGGAGACAACATCTCTCTCCGGTAATGAGTTATAAGGTATTTCGCCCGCCTTCTTAGCATGCCATCGGGGTGTATCGGTCAGCACGCTCAACGCGGATTCGAGAGGTCCGTGGTTCTAGTCCCGGCGAGGGCATTGCTGATTTTTAACACCTCCTGTTCATTTTTCACACCTCCTCTCTTAATGTCTCTACAGAGTCATGAAATTCATTTCGTTTCAAAAAAATTCCATTCCTCCCCGTAGAAGACCGATTTATTAACTTCTTACAATTAATAGAACACTGTAAAAATCAGACACTGGTGTAAAACTTTCCCAATAGCTTCCATTTCCATACTTTGCAGCGCTGTAGCTTTGAAAATATTTTATATTTGTTTGATATACACATTTAGTGTTTTAATATAAAATTACTTAGTATAATAAAGACATAATAATTATTTTATCTGGAAGCTATTTTTTCTGTACAGTAATATCAACTTTTCATGCAGAATAAAGCTTAGCGTATTTTAGTTTTTGTTACGCTTTGTTTATGTTACGAATATATTTTACTAAAATATATTCTTTTCACAGATGTATGAAACTGATGACAAGATTAACGTAATTAATGCTGAAACTTTATTCGAACGCACAAAGTTCATTCAGAAATAAAACAATATGTATTTTTTTTTTTTTTTTTTTTTTTTTTTTTTTTTTTTTTTTTTTTTTTTTTTTTTTGTTTTGCTTGTCTCTCATAAAAATAATATTTATTACAGGCTTGAGTTGCAACACGGACTGGTCAGAAATGAATGGAAAATGTTATCGTCCTTTTCCGTTCGAGTATGATTTTCGAATGGCCAGAAGAGTCTGCCAGATCTATAAAGGGGATTTAGCTTTCATTAACAATAATACATTAATTATATCAATCTCTGTTCATCCAGACTATGGTAATTTTCTTTTTCTTCTCTTTTAAGTGTATTATTCTTTCCTTTTTAAGTGAATTATTACTTATTTATTATGTCAATTCAGCACAGATTATTTAATATTCCTGTCATTTAGAAGAGAAACATCATGACAGTTTTCGAGTAAATCTAAATCGTTTAATACAATCGGAATTTGAGAAATTCTGGCAAGATAATTTTCGGATCATTCGCGTTGCTTTTTCATAGAAATCAGGTATTATTAGGCACGAGTAGAGCAGAATGGGAAACAAATGAAGCACATTCTTCGGGTAAAAGGTGACAAGAACGAGAAAATAAATTAATTAATTAAAATAAAACGACTATAAGGATGAAAATTCACAAGGTTTCTATTATTCAATAATTAACCGTTTGAAACCAATTATTACTGAAACTATATGAAAGTGATTATAATGCAATAGGGGACTTAAAACTGTTTGTTTTGTACAGCACAAAAATATCTATATCCAATTAAGAGCTTATAACGCAGACTTTACGAGTTTGAATTTTATTGTTCAGATTAATCACTTACTTTAAATCAATTCAACAGAGCTTATTGCTTTCTACTTCAAATTTACTTAATAGATGCAGTGGTAAAAAGTCTTTGGGCAGTTCAAAAAACTTAAAATTAGGCAAAATTCAACCACAGATTGTGTGTTATTGTGACTTATCTCGCTTGTCTGATTGTGGCATCAAAACAAGCCCATAAATTTCTTCGTGGCAAAGAAAGCAAGATTGCGCCTGTCGTTGCAAAAGCACCATACAGGTGACAGCCCGCTCAATTTCACCTCCAATTTTGATGGCGAAAACTCCGGGGGGGGGACACGTCCTAGGATCTCTCATTCCTCTTCCCCTACCATCAACCAATCTATATATATAACGAGACTGTATATAGAGCGCTCCCATGCCGCAAAAACACTATACATTTCCAAACATGCATTTCTTCTTCGGGATTCGAACCTGAGGCCTTCGGCACCGCAGTAGGCTCCCCTAACAACTACACTGCTAGCCATTAAAACTGCAACACCATGAAGGAATGATCTAATGAACGTCAAAATCACGTGAAAAGAAGAAGAAATTGGGATATGCTCATGATTAGTATTTCAGTGCGTTTAGACGAAGCAGGAGGGAGAAACGACATCTGAAGCACGGCACAAAAGAAAGGTTATGCAGTGGATTTCTCATTCGAAAAGTGCTTTGCAAGGTTGGTGTTTGCTCAGAATATCGTGTTATGCTTCAAATAAGAAGAGGAAATGCTTACCAGCAAGTTTCGGAATTCGATAAACACAGGATCCTTACCTATCTAAAGTGTAGGTTATCATTCCGTGATATCGCCCGTCGCACTGGTCGACATCCAACCATTGATATGCGAGTATGGAACCAATGGGACTGAGTTACTGTTACCAATGTTACTGAGGGTGATACTGAACAACATGTAGGATCTCAACGCCCTCCCATGAATAACTCCTGAAAGGATGACATATTGTGAAGTCAGTCCTGAAAAATGGTACGATCACATCACAGACCATTAATCAGGAAATGGGCGCGTTTGCAGCACGCCCAGTATCAGCTCATGAGGTGCATCGACGTTTGCATCAGCGTGGACTATCAGCATGGTGACCATTACTTCGGCTTGCCTTGACAATGCAGCATAGAGAGAGGGGCGACTCTGGTGTGTCAAACAACAAAGCTGGATACAGGAGTGGCATAATGCCGCCTTTTCAAACAAGTTCCGGTTCCACGTTCAGTATTCTGATGGCCGTATACGTGTATGGAGTGTCCGAGGGGACCGCACGTCGTCTGCTTGCTTTCGATATCGGCATAGGAGAACTGCTCCTGGTGTGATGGTTTGGGCAGCCATTGGGTACACGACACGCACATCTCCAGTTCGGATCGACGGTAATTTGAACGCAGTTGGATGCGTTTCTGACATCCTTACGTCCAGTAGTTGTGCTTTATCTTCGAAGCCCACAAACGCCCTGTTCCAACAAGACAGTGGATTTTGAAGTTTGGTTGCTTGGATTCTTTGAACCATGTTTAAGATTTTTTCTCCTTTTCGACGATTACAAATAGATCTCTTTTTGTTGCACTTATTTAAATAGATCCAAAATTCATCCATAGTGACAACACTTTTCCTTTTTGTCCGAATAAAGGTTTCTCGTAAAGAAGTCTGCAGCGCGTTTAGTGATCGACCATGTATCATCAAAAAAGACAATGCAAATTATGTTTTTTCGCCTTTTTGAAATTCAAATCAGCATTATCCAGTTTGCTTATAGTTCACACTGAACATTGTAATGATTCTGAATAGTCCTTTGACTTGGCGGATTTTCTTTTAACATTAAACGTCTTACCTTCGGAACATTCGAAACATTCCGTTTTTCCCTTGGATATGTATTTAGAAGAATTTTTCCATTTAAAGCCAATCTTTGATGTTTGTTTCCTTTCTTGTTGACAATATTACTTATCGTAGCTTTAGATATCGATCAACCATGGCTTTCACAGCATATTTTAAAAACCAAGGCACTATTAATTTCCTTCGGAAACAGCAAAAACATAGCCTTCCATCGATAGATTCATTAAAAACGCCATTTTGCATGTAAACAACACTGTCAAGTAGCATACAATAATTTAAACTTAAAAAAAAAAATAGCTGCAGTTAAAAAATAATTCTAACACTAAATTTTGAAAAGGTGAGAGCTAGATTAGAATATTTGTTATGATTATGAAAATTCTCTGTTTTAGTTGAAGGATGCCTTTGTAGAAGATTTTAAAACAGAAATTAACCTGTAATGATGCTGCATATTGAGAAATACCACAAGAACCTCTCACAACTAGCTTATTCAAACGCCATAAAGAACTATCAGAATCCAGTAATTTTAAACACTCAGGAACTAGAGGTCCTAAAATTCTCATGAACAAATCAAAAGAAACTAAATGCATTTAAATACCTTTGGAAGTTTTCTATTAATCTACACAAATGTTTTAATAAATTCTCATGATTTACAACTATAGACAATGGGCAGATTCAGTCAGGGAAATTGTGAAAATCTTACTTTATGTCATTCTGTTTTTCTCAGATCGCACCAAACATTATTGGGTGAAAGAAGGGAGTTACCATGGCAATGGATCTTCGACGCCACTTACTACTGTATCACCTCCTACTGCATTATCAAATGGGTGTCCTTATTTGAATAGTGCTGCAAGTAAGCAGCATCTGGTAAGCAGCTTTTTTATTTGGAACACTGATTATGATTCAGGTTCAGAAGTGTACATCTATTTTTTAAACGCGTCCTTGAAATAAAACAAAACACTTTGCGATATTTTTAGCAAATATTTTTCTTATTCTCCTGGCATACTATTATATATTTCGTCCTCTTCATTTTAAAAATTGGAGTTTGTAGTGAATATCGAACTCAGTAGTTACGTAATGCCTGTGTTTTTAGGCAGAAAAATAATTAGTTTCCTTTCCCGAAGTATTGTTTATTCTTTAAATTTATTTGTGATAGGCGATAAAATACTTTAGTTTTCACTGTGTAATTGAAATTTTATTAAAGATACTCTTTAGAAAAAAGTTTTAATTTACGAATCAGCAAAGTTTATGAATGATCTTAGTAATTTTATCTTCTCGCATGAATTGTTAAATGTGATAGAAAAAATGTTGATTAGATTGCATTTAAGTATGGGTTGATGGATCTATACCTATTTTTTATAATGAAAACATTTTTTATTAATTTTAAAGTACAAAAAATAAGAATAACATGAGATTGAAAAGGACTCGTAAGAGTAATAATAATTTTCTAAAACAGTTCATTATTAACAAAGACTGTTAGCCTGACGTATATCTAGATCCTATTTAAACACTGTGTGTGTGTATTTAATTATGGCAAAGCACACTAGGGCTATCTGCCTAAGGGGAGGGATGCCTTCGTGGAGGACTTTCTAAGGGAAACTGGCTCGTATACACGTTACACATGGGGAAAAAAACCGAAAACCACGAAACAGCCATGCAGCCAGCCCGTTCGCGGGATCGAACCTCGGACCGAACTACCAGTGTTCAGCGACTTTACCGCTCGGCCGCTGGTGGGCCCCTATTTAAACACTACTTTTGTTAAAGATAAAATTTTTATTTAAGGCAAAATGAAAACAGATTAGGAGTTAATAAATGATCCTTCATATTTTTTAAAGCACAGATGCAAAAAATCTTGGTTTCTTATTCTACGTGCTAATAAATATTTTTTGAATTAATTAAACAATTAAGAATTCATTATTTAATTAATTTTAAATGATGTTAAATAATAAAAATTAAATGTTACATTTTAATGAAAAATTAATATAAATTTAAATGCAAATACTTTTTTTTAAATTCTGTCTTAAGAGACTAAGCCACTTAATACAACAACACGCAGTGTCCCCCAAGTTTAGTTTAAGAAAAATTAATATCAAGTTATCTACTATAATAATCACAAAAATCATTAAATTTACCAAACAAAAGTAATTTTTTGAAATAGAAATACCATAACAATAATTGTTTTCGGTAGCTGTAATTTTTCCATTTTTGCTATTTCAAATTAAATTTGATATATTTTTGAATAATTATTTTTTTGCCTCAAATTAAATAAAAGGTCTTGACTTTATCTCATATCAGCTTAAATGAAAATGTAATGAAACTTCTGAATCTTGGATCATCATCCAACTAAATTTTATAGATAAATGTGAATTTGAAGAGTATGCCATTATAATTTATTGTTTGCTTACATGGAGATTAGCAGCTAAAACTCATTTGTAAGTTTTAAGTCCAACATACGTAGGACAACCACATGACATACAAAACGTATGTGGATTTTCTTTCAGGATCCTTTGCTTGAGCCGAAATACCTTTTATAACTACAAATCATTGAAAATTAAAAATTGCTCTACATGACTATGTCCGGCGTACAGGCTAAAGTTCAAGATTGGTTAAGTATATTTTTCTCAATAGAATTTCCCAACAAAATGATTATTCCGTTCTGAACATTTTTTGTGCAAAAGTGAATGCAAGGTCTTTTTAAACAGACACAACACGGTGTAAATGTTCACTCATTGTTAAACCAGATTTTTCCGAGTAGTTCAACAATATCTAAAAAATTCCTATTATATGGTGTAAATAATTTATCTAAAGTACCTCTGGTTAAATAATTAATATAAAGTCAAACTGCGTTCAGCTAAGCAGAGAGTGATACTCATTAAACGTTCTAAATCTTTACACCAATGCCCTCGTTCTTCTTCCACTTATGAATGAAACTCCTTATCAATAATTTTATTAGTCTGTGATCTCAGTGATGTTTTAAACTATTTCTTTAGACATTATACAAGTGATGTACTGAATTTTCATGTAACTATAAGTATTCATGAGCAAGCTTCCAGCCATTAATTCCAGATTTCTCTAACATTGACTTCTGGGAGATACCAAAACATTCTGAACAGAAGCAATAAATTTTATTCGTGCTTTCTGAATATGTGAGACGCCTTCTAAGAAAACTCTCCTTATTGTTTACTTTCCTATACATCATTGTCACAAAAATACTATGCTTATTTTCATCTGTTGGAAAACTGGGATATTTATTATTAGGATGAGGCCCATTCAGAATTATGTTGTCACTTTCATCTATTGATATTTCATCTGGCCAGTATACTGGATCACTGTAGTTGACATTTATTTTGGTTGAGCTTATAAAATATTTTCTTCCTTCTTCCAGCATGCCTTCGCGGGGTAACAGTATCAGGACTTGTGTTTCTCTTGATTTGCTTTGGAAACATGATGTGTCCTCAATAGGAACAGGGAGCTCACTCAAGCTATGTTCAAAAATGTGTGGAATAGACGACACAAGCAGTAAGGGTATACGAAACCCTTTATTTTCTATACTTTACAGGTACTCCCGAACTTCGGGATACAGAGACCAACCACTTGTGGTCTGAACGTAAGAATATAAAACTACTAACTAAAACTCTAACTAAAAGCTAACTTTGAATTAGTATACAAATGCCTAGCATTAAGCCTTTATTTAAAAGGGTACGTATGTAGTACGTCGAGCTGCTGAAACTACAATACGTTTTCAAATATCAAGAGGGCTAAACCTCTGGCCTTAAAGGCAAACAGCAACCGAGTGAAAACTCGTAAGATTGCAGTGGCAAGCGGCTCGCTTCCTAAATCTCCTTCTCTCTCTAACTCTTGGCAAAAAGCCACAACTTAAATACTTGGACGTTAGCAAGACTATTTGCATAAACAAGTTAAAGCATTTAATTTTGGCCGTAAGTAGAAAATAAGAAGTGATAGTACAGTTTTAAAATAAAACAAAGTTTGTAAAACTTAGGATCCTTACAACAGTAGCACACTCAATGCGTATTCAACAGGTCCAGGTTCGAGTCCCGGCGAGGGCATTGCTCAATTTTTAGTTATAAAACACCAAAACCCCTAATGTACTCTACAGTGGCAACCGAACTGAAAGGTGGTGGATTATGATTCGTTACCACCAGGAGTTGGCGACTGGGTCAAGTAATCCCCAATCTCACTTTAACAAGGAAAATACATAAGGTATTTTCTCCCTCCTTTCTGCATGCATTCGTGGTGTAAGGGTAGCACACTCGCCGTGTATTCGAGACGCCCAGGTTCGAGTTCAGGAGACTGCATTACTCATATTTCACGTCTCCTGCTTTAAAACAACCTAATATAAGCTTTAAATTTACTTTCAACATTTCCAGCAATCCTGACTGTGAGTGTGACATTATTACCTAAGACCAAGACCTCAACCACATTTCAGTTGTGATCTTGGTCTTTTAGGTTGCTATTGCTTAGCATGAGGTTGTCATTTTTTTCAGAAAATAAAATATAAATATTTTTAACTTATTTGACCTCACAATCATTAGATGACATAGCTGGATACATATATGTAGCTGAGGAAATTAAGCTAGCATTGTTTTCACTTTTTGACTTAGAACTAAATACTTTTAGTTGTTCCTTCAAGATTTGTTCTTGCTGAAGACATCTTTTTCTATTTTCATAAATATTTTTGAAAGCATTTCTCAATTTTAAAAGTAGAAAAAATTAAATCTAAATTGTTTATTCAAAAAACAAGTAATAAAAACACTACGGAACACCATTATAAATGGCACAAAAAAAAAAAAAAAAAAAAAAAAAAAACACAGAGCAATCTTTAAAAAAAAAAAAAAAAACAACGAAATGTATTGATTCTAACTCGACATTAGTTGGTGCTGCTTAATTAAAAGACTGGTGTGTGAAAAAATGCAATACAAAACTCTGCATTCAGAGTATCAAAACTGAACCCAAGTGGAATTTAAAAGAAAAGGGTGTTAAAAAAAAAAAACAACGAAATGTATTGATTCTAACTCGACATTAGTTGGTGCTGCTTAATTAAAAGACTGGTGTGTGAAAAAAAATGCAATACAAAACTCTGCATGTCAGAGTATCAGAAACTGAACCCAAGTGATACTCGAATTTAGAAAGAAAAGGGTTAAAGTATATCAGATTAAGAAACATTTACATTCATTATTTTCAATTTGGAGGTGGAAGGATATTCTTGATGGCTCCCTGGCCAGCTACCCTTTTTACCTGTACCTTGAGCGGCTGTTTAAAACAATGATTCGGCATCTAAAGTAAATAAATATAATTTAATTTAATTTAAACCAGCTGTTAACTGGGGATAGTTCATACCTCTCGCTTCCGAAATTTAACTTCCAGATGAGAATAATGATTCAGCTGTATAACTAACTGGCAGGTTTGACAGTAAATTCTTAGCAATAAATGCTCACATGAATAAATTGTTGAATCTTTTCCCTGTTTGAAATGCAAGATATAAAGATAATCATAGGAAATTACATAATCAAAGTGAAACTCAAGTTAAATGTGGAACAACAATTTATCTTGTCCAATACTGTTGAACCTAATTCCATTAGATTCTGCACTGGAGTTTAGTCGCAGGAAGAATAGTGTGCAATGCTAAAGAACTAATATAATCTATTACTGAAGAAACAAAATGTGGCGAAAGAATGGAGAAACGAAGTCGGAAACACCGAGAGGAGCTGACTCATAATTGGAAACATAAATCGAGAGATCATTTGCAGACTCTGCGCGGTGATTTAACAGCAAATGCAATAAAATGTTTGATGAAAATAATTCTCTGAAATCTCATGAGTGTACAGCCTCAGTTATTAAGAATAGTTGTACACAATGCAGTGAATCACATGATTCTGATCTTTGGGAAATTAAATGTATGAATGAGAAAAACAAAATGTGTCAAAAAACCAAACTCATTGTTTTTTTCCTTTAAGGCGGCTCTTCTAAACTATGTTAGGTATAGAGTAGGCATATACCTATATATATGCCTACTCTATACCTATATTTTCCATGCCTATTTAAGAGAAACATTTATGAAGTTCATAATAGAAAACATAAATGATCTATTCGATTTCAACTTGACATTAAATCAGATAAAATAATAAAAATAAAATAGTTCCAGCAATTTTACAATGTACTGTAGATTTTTAAATGTGTTAATTGAAAAAAACGAAATTTTCTCAAACACGTTGCTACAAACATGCATCACAATGGTATGCCCATTCAATAATGGCAATAGTCTAGAGCCGATTATCAATGAGAAGTTTTATAATACGGGACAATTCAGAGAAGTGTAAATTACTAGTTATTAAAACCGAGTAACAGAGAGAATATACAGTTTAGTGTTAAAATCGAAAATAGAGATGAACTTCTCTTAAACACTGAAATAGAAGCTTAAGAGCCTGATCAAATATGCGCAACAAATTTTAATTTTTCTAATAAAGACTCTTTCTAAAATAAACAAGGAATTAAGGGCTTACAAACGGCTGATGATCGAGAATACAGAGACAAAAATATTATTATTCTGATGATGACATAATAACAAGTAAATATAAATGTTTTAAAACAAACTTATAGTTTCTGAAACAATGGTGCCACCAAGGTCAGTCTGAATTCAAAGGTGAATTATTAAGTATGTCATTGTTGGCAATGTAACTTTCCCACCAGAAATAAGTTAGTTTTTATAATTACAAAATGTATCCGTCTAAACTGAATCTCATAAGATATTCTCGCTGATGAAATAATGAGAGAATTTTGAAGTGAGTATTAGCTTCTAAAACAAGAGACACACATTCATGCTACACAAGAAAATTAAAACGAAGTAATCGTTGCAAGATAACAAGAAATAAACAAAATATTTTTCCAATTAAGAATCATTTTTAGAACTGATCCATTATTATTTCCAGAATACAAATCTGTCGTACAGGACGGATTTCTCACAGACATAAATGAAAACATCATTGAAAAAATATCACTAGAATATAAAGGTAAGATTTAAAAAAAGCACCTTTTATTTAGGGGCATAGAGGAGTTATTAGGGAAGATAGGTTACAAATAAATTAAGGATTGTATTTGATGAGTCTTATCATGAACAGTTATTATTAAGTAATTGCTTACATACAGGACTTTATTTAAACCTTGATGTCTTCCGTCTTTTCTTAGATTCAGAGATCCTCCAATTGCATTTACAGCTGATACAGTACGCCTTTTGCCAAATCGAGATAAATTATTATTTAGCATGATAACGTTACAAATTTGAAGGGAGCAAATAATGTTTTTTATATACTTACAATTTAGAAATCGGATCCTGTTCAAAGCTTTAATTCTAAAAAATGGCATAATGTTGAATATTATTCTTCCTCCTTCTTTTCACTTCCGTGAACGATAGGATATAAAATCCCTGGAGTTATGAAACCAGTGATTTTAAGCTTTGAAGAACTTTGCCCATTAACTGCAAAAATAGAAGTTTGTTACTCATTTCTGCTCGTTCAACAGATTTTCACCCATGAATTCCTGGCCATAACTGAATACAGTAATATTGTAGATTCTTTACCCGTGTTTAAAAGACACAGGTAAAGAATCTACAGTATTAATGTTTTGAATCTACAGGTTTTTTATCTTTATTCAAAAACTTGATTTGGAGTTAGCTTTGGCAACTTTTGAAGTGAAGATTACTTCAACCGTTTTCAGACTCAGAACAAATGGAAACTTTCGCCGAGTTTTACCGATATCAGCCCAATTCCATACCCAAATGATGTTGGAGAACGGCCCAACAGGGACCGGATGCCGTATCTGGGCTACTACAGGATGACAACAAATAATGAAATCACATTCAATCTAAATAAATGATAAGTGGCTGCAGTAGCAAAAAATAAATAAATAAAACCTTTCTTTTATGAGCTGCATTTACATGTAACTTGTATGTTAGGTAATAGATTCTCTAGATTAGATTTTATTTGTAATAAACTTCTTTCAAAACTAGATCGAATATCCTTTGAAATAGTTTATCAGCGAACCACTTGATACAGAATAAGATGCGAGCAGTCTCATTACATTTATTTGATTCATTTTAGATTCTGAGATAACCACCGCCAAATGCCATATTGCTTAATTCCGGAGTTAATGAAAATATATTTGAAAATTTGTGTGTAATCCACTGAACGCAATTTTGTTCTTTGCAGTGCTAAAATTCTATTCTTTTCTATCTACGTCATAAAACCCATAGTGCAGTGTTAGTATTAATAGTTTGGTATAATTACATTGTAAAAACCAATACCCGAAGCAGAATTTCTAAAAACATATAAGGCATATATATTCAAAAAGGATGCTTATTATTTTCGCTTCGTTGAAAAATCTCGAAACGAAAACACTTACTTCCTAGATTTCTAGTGGTTAAACGATTAGTTTCCTTTTTCCATACTTTATAAAACTCTAGGAAACTTAATAATCGTAATAGAAATGTGTATAATAAATGTTAATGAAATAATGTTACAACACCCTGTATTAAAACTACACATAATATATATATGTATTCATGTAACTAATGTAATAACGTAAGTTAATGCCTGTTTCCTTTTATTTAAAGTACTATTAAACTTTTCCTTCAGCTAATATCTCCAGAAGATTGCGATAAGAACAATCCGTTTATCTGCGAAGTGCAAAAGAAAGGAGCAGATCTTATTTGTCCACAGGTAAAGCTCATTTTAGAAATAAGAGAAAATGTTTTAAGCTTCTGTTTGTGATATGGATTTTTTAAACTTGGAAACAGACTGTTATATGTACAACTAATAATTTCTTCTCTTGTTCTCAATTAACTTAATGGAATACTTGATACTGCTCGCTGATTTAAAGTTCAAAATTTCAATCAATCACTGTAAGGTTTTTATTAAAGTGATAAATTTATATATTTAAAATCATTATAATCTTTTCTTATTGCTTAATTATTATTATAATAGATTAAATGGAAAGTCTAATTGGGTACGGAGCTTAATAATGGATGAAATATAGATATTTTTACTAATAATATGCTTGTAAAAATGCAGATAGTTACAACAAATGGATGGAAATAGCCGCTGAAATTTCGAACTTCAAATCAGCATACAGGTAGGAACGCCTATCGATTGTTGTGTTACTTTAAAAATTAATTTTAATTTTAAACAAACATTAAATTTTGTTTATTTTCCAGAGGAGTTCTTTTTGTAGGAAAACACTTCAGTTCTGTCCCATAAACTTCATAAACTTGACTCAAGATGCATATAAATAAAATTACTTATTATTAATTGGCATACTTTAATATTGTTTTTCAATAACTGACTCAGTTTAAATATTTATGCTATATTAGATGATTGGTTAAAAACACAGACGCTTTTATTGAAAAATGTACCTGGGAAAAGAATGATATAGACTAAATTTTATTATTTCATACTTGCAAATAGGATAGACGCAAAATTCATTGAAATTAATATTCGATGCATTAATTTCAGAATGACTTTAATTAATCTTGCTTAATTTATTTATAAATTCTATTGTAAGGTAAGATACACCTGTAAAAGATCATTTTAGTCTTGTTCTTCAAACCTGATTCAAATTTCAAGTTTAAATTATATTTTATGTTATTTCTTAATATATTTTATCATTTTTTTTTTATAAAAGACAGCTCAAAATATAAAATCAAGATGACAGTTTTAGCATTAAATTATTCTTCGGATGTGATTGTATTAACATTTAACATTTTCCAAAAGCTTCATTTTCCTGATGAATTTCTGTCGGCTTTTGACTGTAAGAGTACGAGTTGAATCACGAAATAGATCTAACTTATTTCATTATTTATTAATAATCTAATTTCATTTATTAATCTGCATCCGTGTTGATATTTATTTAATTTCAGATGCTTTCTGTATTTTAAATTTAAAGTGATACAACATGCACATGTATTCTCTTTAGCGATATAGAACAATTATTGCGAGAAAAACCAAAATATTCGTTGTTTTCTTCATCTAAAAAGCCAAAATTAAAATTTTTATGTTAGAACAATAAAAGTGCAAATTATTTACTTTTAGACCTGGGATCTCTACGGTTCGTACTGCTTTAAGAGGAGCATTGTTCAGGCTACATATGCAGATGCAGCAGGAATTTGCTCATTACAGCGAGGAAGGCTAGCTATTCTGGATAACGAGTAAGCTGAAACACAAACAATTCTAAACAAATATGTATCTTTATTTTAAATTGTTTATCTCTTATTGTAACTAAATATGTAAATATTTGTGACTGTTTAACAGATATATAGTCTTATTGTTAAAAGTTTGCAATATGACCTTATGATTAAATCTGATTCTAAGAATAACTGTCATAACTAAGACTTGGCAGCAAGAACTTTTGTGCAATATTCATCATAAAATAAGTTCCTGAAGGGAAAAACTGTAAATATGTTTAAAATGTCTACATTTAATATAAACTGCAAGCAAATGCAAATTTCTAATAACAGAAGAAAAAAATATAATTTTTGTTAATACCTATATTGATACATAAATCACCATTTTCTACGTTATAGCTTATACCTTAGTTCTAATGAATGACTTTTGGATACATTTTTTTTTTTTTTTTCAAATCACTCAATGAAAATTTTCTTTCTCAAAATTTACTATGCTTTTAAAAGTTAGAAAGGAGAATATTTAGAACATAAAATAATTTTAGGATGCTTAGTATTTTATGTAAAGCATACCGCATTGAGTTTCATTTTTAATATATTGGTCAAGATAACTTATATGAAAATCTAACAAAGCAAATTATTGCAAAGGATAATTGTAATAAATTTGTAAGGTAAAAGCTTCATATCCAGAGACTTCCTATTTACAGAAAGGCTTTGCTTTTGCATTATACTATGTAATGCATTTATTATGCAGCATGTGATGCATTTTTCGAGAACGAGTTAATTATATTGGCGAAATGATTTCAAATGATAGCAGGTACAGATATTTCTTGCAATTAACCGTGTATTAGACGTGATTCGTTACTGAATTAGGTGATTAAACTATAAACTAAAAACCATTATGTTTTTGCATTTATGCCTAAACGTAATTTTAAATGTGATGATTACTTTGTACTCCTGTAATATCAAAATATAATAACATTTTCTTCAAAAGGAGTGAATATCCTAAACTCACCAATATGCATAGACTGAATGAATTTATGGCTAGTTCTTTAATTCAGAATTAGAAGACTCTACAAGTTCTATATCCTTACCTTTCTCAAATTAGAATCCTTCATACTGAAAATGTTTCTTTCACTTCATCTGATGAAGCCCTCTTTCCGCGAAGTTACAATTTCAGCGTTAATAACATTTTTAGAAGTAAACTTCAGCTAAAAACTTGGTCTAAATTGAAGATACTTGAGTACTATCCCATTGAATTCAGGCATCATGCTGTGGCTCTCAGTGCCACAACAGCAACATGAAGATAAGCATTTCCAACCGAAGTACAAACCGGATTTCTTCATTATGGCTCCAGATTGGAATTTCAGGAAGTCTCTATAAGTCTAGGAAGTTTTTATAAGTCTCTATAAGTCTAAGGAAGTCTAGTCGTTCACTGTTTGCCCAATATCGTTTTCAGGATATCGAAATACGTGACCTTCCAGATAGCATATTATCGATTTATCCAGGCATCATATTATTTATTTCTTCTGAAATATCACCACTAATGAAATCTTTATTGTACTGCTAAGTGTTTTTCTACTATATACTTTTGTAACATTTCAAGTACTTCATCACTATTCTTACCAACTTTAACGAAAAAAAAAAAAAAAGTCATACCTCAAAAGCATCTTCATAGTAGCTTCTTCATCCGCCGCTACGAGATGTAATCGGTACATGCTCTACCTGTGATCAAATGCAGAAACCCGGATTCCTCAACTGCAAGTTCGGACACGACTTTATACACCTAATATAAGATCATCGTATCTAATTGCAAAATTAGTATTAAAATTAAATATAAACAGTCTTAAAAAACTCGCTAGAAGCATGGTAATAGAAGCAGTTTTTTTAAAATGTCTTGGTCAGCTCTTTATTCTTATTAAATTCAAGAAACACAAAAGCCTCGAGTATACCTTTTTTTATATTCGATGGGGAGAAATTTCAGGTAAAAGAATCAAGAAAAAAACTTACTTTATTAAGAGCACTAGTATTCTAATTTTCTACCATTCAGTCTAGAACACATGATCCGTAACATTTTATGGCATAAGTGTCTTGAATTAGACTGAATGAATGATTATGTGTATTATTACAATTATTTGCTCTGCAGTGACAGAAATTTAAGCCCTGGTTCAAAGTGAAACGTGCATGACATAAGATTTTTAGAAGTTTTTTAGAAGCCACGGAAAAGAAAACAAAGCTCACCCAGAATAAGTTAAATATCATTATCAGAAAAATGTATTGTTTGTCTTTGCCTAGTTATGAATAACGTAACGAGCTTCTCTTCCATTTCATGTCTTTTTACAATTAACTTTGTGCAATAATAGTAGTAGTTTGTAATTTTTGTCATTAGCTAACCAAAAAGAACGGAATATTGAGGGTTCAACATTCGTAAAGAATGACTTCAGATGGTAGAACAAGTAAGCCATGAACGCCGAATTAAAATAAGACTTTAATTTTTTCCTTTATTCCTTTTTCAAATATTTTCATAAACTAGTAAATCGTTAAATTCAAGCTCATATTTATCTAATAAATTAAGCTAACTTCAGTTGTGCCTTTGACATCCCACAGTTCAATGCATGAATTATTTCCTGAAGGCATTTGCTCAACACAAAATTCAAGAGCTATGGACGTCTTAGAAATCAGACTTTATATCCCTGAATTAATTCTTATAATTAAAAAGTCAAACACCTCATTTTCTTCAGTTTACTTAAAAATGCACTATTTTCGAATTTCATCTTCAAATTTTCTAATAATGCTTGAATTTTTAACTACATTATCTATACTAATGTATCTATTTATACCATCAAATTTCTGTTACCAGACACTTATTAGAACACAAAACGCTATTAATAAAGGCATCATGTGTCTGATACAGAGAATAATATTATAATAAGATAACAAATATTTAGAATAACTGTGACCACAGCCCATTTGAATATTCAAGAAATCAGGCCCAGTGAGATCTTTCTTTTTTTTTCTATAAATCAAATGCACGTTTATTGCATTATAGGTAAAGGAATATAATATTTTCGTTTCCCTCATTTTCCCAACAGAGATTACATAGCTAAAAAATGTACATTAACTTTCTTAAAATCCAATACAAAGCAGACTTTTTTGATTAAATTAACAATCAAACATTTTTTTTTTATTTTCTTAAGCCCATGGCACTTTCATATATGAAATAAAATAAAATATTGAAATTAATTTTTATTCACTCATATCTTGAACACGCAGGAGAAGGTTGCTATCGATTGGCAAATTCTACAAAATTATCCTTAAAACCGTCAAATTTGGCAATTTTACAGTTTTTTACACGTTATTGTAAATATTACTTTCCATACTAAACATCTCTAGGAATGCACGTCATAATTACAAAATATTCAGTATATATTAGAAAACTAAGAATATGTGCCACTGGCCCAATGAAGGAAACCGGTCACCTTCATTGAGCCGGGGAGCTTCTAAGAATGGGTCGGTAGCTATTTTCTTTTTAATACAGTATCATCTTAATACAAGTCAATGAAATGTTTAAAACTATTTTGAACGGGATTCGTAAATATAAAATTCTGGTTAGAAACTAATCAAGGCCACTGAAAATACATTGAAACATACTGATAGCTTCGCATTATTCACAAGGAATCAGGAGTTGGATTTTAGTTTAGTCTCTACAATCATAAAATAGGCCTTATGTGAGAATCTAAGAAATAATATTGAATTTCGTTTATTAGAAATAATTTAGTAAACATTAAAATTTGAGGGTGATTTACAGTTAGGCTAGCATAAATTATAGTTATATTTATAGCATAAATTAAATGTTAACTATGTTAAATAACTATAACATAGTTATAGTTATAAATATTAGTTGAATTTCGTTTATTAGAAACAATTTAGGGAAAATGAGCATTTGAGGGTAATTTATAGTTAGACTAGTATAAAAAGAAAAATAACCATAACTTGAAAACTTTCAACTAGCATAAACTAATTATTAAGCCTAGTATTAATATAAGGCTATAAATCTTGCACAAATCACTGCATCAATAAATTCGTTCTTGATGAGTTCAGTTGCATGATTCACAATAATACATTTTGATCCCATTTCTAACACAAGCACATTTCTCATGAACCCATAGTTTACACGAGAAACATTTAATCATGCCTTCTTTAAAGTCCTCACAACAGATAGCACAGAGCCATGAATTCTTGTTGGAATTTAGAGGCGTATTTACTGAAGTCAATGAAAGTTATCCTTTACTGTTTTCTTCGATCCAGACGTTTGGACTCGTCTTTTCATAGCGGTGCCTTTTCCCCCCCCCCTTTTTTCAGCTTTTTCTAGGAACTGCTTGTATGGAGTTTTTGTCATCAGTCTTGTATTTTGTGCTTTGTTTGAGCCTTTTCTAAGTGAGAATTTAGATGGAATCGGAGAGTTTTCACCCAAAGAAACTTTAACTTTTGACAATAATGTTGATGCACCAACTGGAAGCGGTTCTGGTTCCGCTGGCGGTTGTAATAGATTTTTCTGTGTGAAATCTACATGCCATGCGGCATTCTACTTATCGAAGCAGTTAGGCTTATGTCAGGAGCTTCTACAACAAGAACATCATTTGTTTCGAACTGCACTGCTGCAACAAAATGAGAGTCTTGAAATACATCTCTGTTAACTGGCCAAACTCCTGTTTTAGCAAAACATTCGTTGCCGTTCCTACTGTTACTGCTTGTCCATATACTTTCCCAAACAATCTTGCTGTATGGAACTGGGCGGCAACTTCTAATTTTCCTTTACTTTGTCTCAGTCGTAGAAATTTCTCCATTTCATTGATGTAATAATATTTCATTTACGTAATAATGTTTCATTGGAGCAATTGATGTGCATTTTATTCTTCAACTCAAAATTTACAAAATATTAGCTTATATGGTTTCCATGGTTGGGCCACCAACCCATTCATAGATAGCGACGCAGGCTGGCTAATTGAATGCAACTAGCAGTTGGTATGTAATACGCCCGTGATTTCGGCTATCACAAAGTAAACCATTGTTAACATAGACAAATAAAACAGTTTTAAATATTATCAGTAACAACTAAAACACTATTAATGTCTCACTGATATCCATATTTTCTTTACATTAATAAATTACAAGATAAATACAGAAATCTTATTTTCTTATAAAGGAACTTTGTTTGAGCGTGGATCTGTCAAACATCAACTGTGGATCAACTCCCTATCAAGATGGCAATTTTCAAGCTTAATCTAATATACTAAACAGTCAACAGACAGTGCCTACTGAGAATAACTAGAAATAATAAAGGTGGCTCAACGAAGGAGCGTGCCCGTTGATAACAGCCTTACCCTAGATTTGCTTCTATTTTGATTTAAAAATTTACAAATAATTTTACAATTACTTGTAATTTAGAATTTAATTTTAATTTTAATTTACAATTAATTTTACAAATAATTTACATTTTGTTTGCGTGACACAAAATACATACTTCATTTCAGAGAGAAAGTTTTTTTACAAAATGAAGTCTTTTTTTTTTTTTTTTTTTTTTTTTTTTAAGAAATAAACATTTGTTTCGACTGAGCAATGATTCACTAAGCAAATAGGGAAAAGTAATCTTTTCTCAGAAACTTGAGTAATATTCAAGTAATTCTTACCTAATACTTTACTTACTAATATGCAACTTCTTTTATGCTAAATTTTTCAGGCTGTTTATTAAACTTAGATTTTTGACTTAATTTTCAGTCAAGTTTTGTGGGTCATTTGTTATTTAATTGTAGCAGCAAAACCTTCGAAGCATTTAGCATGAAACTGAAATGAATAACTTAATTTCCGAGTAACTTACTGTTAAGTAACACATCACTAAATTAAACAGTTCGCTTAAGCAGAAGGAATCTTTAGGAAAGCGCTTTGGAACTCCGGTTTAAATGGAAGAGATAATTTTATACCAGCACTGGGTGTTTACATAAAACTGAGTCGAAGATGTTTGCATTCCCGTCGAGGTCGAGACTTAATTCACTTTCGTCAAAAATCGCTAAATGTTAGCTAAGATGTCTTTTTTATGCGTATGTATCTATACGCGTGTATGTGCATGTTAACAACCACCTTTCTGTGGTCTACCTAATTTCGATTCTCATTTCCTACTTAGGTTCCATCTCATACTGTGAAGCCTTATCTTCCATTTTCCCGAAAATATGAAATTTGTCATAAGAATAAGTGTTATGTTTTAACTTTTCTTCCACCACATAATTTTGAAGATAATAATAAATTTCATCGAACAGGCAAATATTCTATGCAAAGCTAAGCACTGTTTGATATTTATAAGTGGTTTGAATTCCATTTTTAGTGGCAAGTAAATTTCAATCGCTAAATTACTAATCTCACTTTAAAGAAATTCTACTTAATTGTTGGCTTAGTCATTTCGTTAACAGTTTGAATTACACATTTTATTTCAATTTCAATTAGTATTTGTTCCACATGTCTCTCCGAAAATTTTTTAGGTATATGTTATAAACTATTTTTTAAATTTTGTAATACTTGAATATACCTTTATCATTTCGTCCTTTTCAATAATTTATAACTAAGAAAGACTTTTCTATTTAATTGTGAGTGTGTGTGTTTTAAAGTAATATTTTGCTGTAAAAATTCTAAACAAAATATATTTTAACGTGTTAAAAAATATATTTTCCTTTTTAGAGACAAAGTACATTATGGATTAGCTATAGTTTTAGGATGGAATATAGCCTACACTGTAGGAGCGTCAAAAACTAACGGCAGCTTCAAATGGTCAAATGGGAACGATTTCCAAAGTAACTGCTCAGAATGTATTAAAGGAGAAAGTGGTAAAGTATTATAATAATCATTAATAGTTTTCAAATACATTAAATTCATAATGATAAAAAAAGGTAAATTAATATGCATTTATAATTATGTGGCTACGTATTACTTTGTTTTAAAATAATCAGTAATGCTTTCCTGGTGACATTTTATATGTACAATATAATTTTCAAAGCAAACTTTCCACTCAGAAATTAAACTAAATATTTCATCTTCATTATTATGAGTATAAAATGCTTTTAAAATTTTTATCATATTACTTGTTTTACTAAAATTTGTTAACGAAACACCTGTATTAACGCATCGTCGATAATTTCTTTCGTTTAATTCTTCTTTTTCCTAATTAACAGTGTCTGTTACTATGTCTGTTATGTTCGATCCATCACATTCAACTGCTGACATGTCATTAGTTAAAATATACACAGAAGTGGCAGTAATATTTTAGCTAATCGTATTTCGCAATCAGTTGCAAATTAGTTTAAGATTCATTATTACTTTCAGTTGTAGCACCCATGCACTTTTAATCTACCAGAACATACCCGTTTTGAGACATCCCGTTTTGAGAGTAGCCCTTCTGTGCTAACACTCCTTTGGGTTAAAACAACGATTGCTTTCGTTAAATCTCTTGCAGTTGTCGAAGATTCTTTTCGCAGTTATTGATTTTAAAATTAATTTTCATGACATGCTTTAAAGGAAGAATAACACTTCTAAGGCTAAATCAAGAAGATCTAAAGGCTGTATTTTTTATGTAATACCTTTTTAAATTTTAAAAGTACTTAAGTTTCTTGTATACCACATATATAACACAAAGCTTACAGCAATAAGTAAAAAAATAAACAGTACAATCAATACAACGCGTAATAAAACTAAATTTTCAAATTCACAGATAAAACGTATGAAATAACTATACAGAAAGAACAGAATGCCATTTTCTTTTGAATGAATAGGTGGAGACGGGAGGAAAATTAATGTTTAAAGAATTTAAATGGGAAGTCAGTATTTTTCTTCCCTGAGTAAACTCTGAACAATAGAACAACGAATGTTGAACAACAATAGAAAAATAGAAAAAATATATTTTACTCTCCTCCGAAGCTGCACGAAAACAACTCCAAATAAGATAGCCCAGATCTCTCATGATATATATTTAAATTACCATGTTTAGTTAAAAACTGTAAAATTGAAAAAAAAACTGAAAGATTTCAGATTTTATATTACGCCCTGTTGCAACTTATGATCTTTTTTCTTATTCTTATTATTTACATTTTAACAACATCAATAAGTGAAATTTTGCTTACCTTTCTTAATAAATATCCACAGGAACGCTTGGAATTCCTTTTCATTTTTATCACACAGAAACTTTATTTACATCTATGTACAAGAATTGTATGCTTACATTAGAACATTCATCATGTTTTTCTGGTTGCCACTACATCTATCTCAAGAAACCGCAATAATCATGTGGTAAGAAAAATATAACAAGCTAAAAGTAAAAAACGCTGCGCCCTCTCGTGGGCCAGCTACATAAACTGTAACAGATTCCTCCCCCTCGAATGAAACTCTTGGTTCATCAAAGGATTGGATTATGAAGTTATCTGTAAACATACTAAATGTTTTCAATGTTTCTACAAGTTTAAAATGTTCATACATGCAGTGTTCGCAATTTAAGTTCATTGTATTCAGTGTTCAAAGAGTTTCAAGTCATTTCTAATGGGTATAATAACTGCACAGGACGACAAAGAATGAGTTCCATTAGCTAAACGGACAGTGCAAGCCCTTATTTTCCTATCTCATCCTGGATGACACTCCTGTACAACTCCCATCTTCCATAATAATCTTGGTAATTTTTCTTCATGTACTAGAACTACAGAGCCTTTCAAAAGATCTGTTACGGCATTACCTCTCTGAATTTGTTTTACGTTTCTAATTTCAAGTAAGTATTCTCTTTTCCAGCTTTTCCAAAACTCTTCTAATAACCTTAGCCGGTATTTATATCGCCTGTTTAAATTTTCTTTAGTTGAATCAGGTTCAAGAATTTTGCCAGATGGTAAGGGATGTCAGTCTTCGTCCAACTAGAAAATGAGCTGGCGTCAGCGGTTCTGGTTCTCCAACTTCACTATAAACATAAGTCAGTGGACGCGAATTCAATATTGCCTCAATTTCAGATTAAAACTGTTTCCAACTCTTCAAGTTTAAGTGAAGCCTTCATGAGTATTTTCTTTAAACATGACTTGATTAGATCTAATAAGCATTTCCCAAAAACCGCCCCACCAGGCCTCCTTCTTCCACATTGAATTTCCACCTCAATACCTTTTATTACCAAACTAATTTTGAACTTATGTGTCCTTGATGGTATTCCATAGTTTTTGTAAATCCTTGTCTGCATCGTTTGAAGGTTTTTGCATTGTCTGAAATATATTATTCGAACATACTACCTCTTCTTGAAATAAATCTTCTAAAGGACTGAGAGAAAATATTTTGCTGTTTGACTAGACACAAGTTCCAGATGCACTTGCTCTTGTTACAGCGCATCTATACAGAGCAATATAATCTTTCCCAGTTTCATCCTTTGTACTCATAGGACCAGCAAAATCAAGTCCTTACAACTTCGAAGGTATTTGCCTCTGTTATTCTTTCGATTGGCAAAAGAGCGATATCCTGACTTAGTGGCTTAGCTTTAAATCTGTAGCAAATCACACACTTGTTATTATTACTCTTTACACGCTGTCGACCCTTAAGTATCCAAATTTTTTCCCTAATTTGAGTTAAAGATCCAGCTACACCAGCGTGTGCTTGCATTTCGTGACAATCTTAATGATATGATCTGTGAATGAGACTTCTCAGGTAGTATTGCTTGGTATGTTTGATTATAGCTTAACCCAGCATTTTGAAGCCTTCCTCCTACTCTGAGTATTCCATTTGAGTCTACAAATGGATTTAATGTAAATATTTTCGAACTATGTATGCTTTGTTTCATCTTTAATTTCCTTATTTCTTCTCTAAAATTTTCTTCCTGAGTTTTCTTGATCCAGAAATTCTCTGCTTCATTCATCTCTTCAGCCTTAACAGGTCCAATGCTTCTTAGTTTTGGGTTTTTCAAATTATTGATAAATCTGAAAACATAAGATGTTATTCTATATACTTTCTTTATGTCATTAAAGTTCTCGATAGGAATGATATTTTCAACAGTACAGTTTGCTGTTAAAATTTCTTGCTTCTTTCCTTTTCGTTTCTCAGAATTTGTTATTTTATCATCTTCCTTAAAATTTCTCGAAGATCTGGGCCAAACGTTGTTATCTTTGACAAGCCAAGGTGGGCCATACCACCACAGTTCATTTTTTGAAAGGGTTTCTACCTTTTGTCCTCTCGTCAATAGTCCGAAGGATTCTCTTGGCTGGGACAATAATTCCACCAATCTGGATCAGTTTTTCTCTGGATTTCTAGACACCTATTTCGTACAAATTGTTTCCATTTTGTCGAATCAGCCTTGACCCAATGTAATACAATTTCTGAATCTGTCCACATATAAATCTTCATTTCCATGTTTTTCAACGAATGTAGGATGTATGTAATGAGTCGAGCTCCTATGACTGCTCCTAAAAGCTCCAGTCGAGGTAACGTAACCCTTTTTATGGGAGCAACTCTTGCTTTGGACATAACAAATGATGTTTTTGTTAACTCATTTTCATTGTATCTCAAATATACAACGGCACCATATCCCTTTGGCTACTATCTGTAAACAGTGCAATTGAATATTCCACAGATTTCCTTTGACAGATTGTTGAATAATGTCTTGGAATTTCAACATTTTTTAATTTAGGAATTTCATTATACCAGGTTTTAAATCGATTCTGCAATTCTTGATCAAGTGGTGATCCCATTGGTAACCTCTTGCCAACATTCTTGCATCATCATTTTAGCTGCAACAACAAAGGGAGATATAAAACCGATAGGATCGTATAGTTCGCCCGCAACTTGAAGAATCTTCCGTTTTGTTATTTCCTGAGCCGGATCCTTGAGTAATTCAGCTTGATTCGAAATTTCAGTTTATCTGCTTCATGATTCCAAATATATATCCTAACAAAGTGCTATCATTCCGTCTCCATTAACTTCGTATTTCAGCTGCATTCCAAATCGCATGTAATTGGGCGTTATTGCTCCTCCACTTTCTCATATTAAACTAGAGCAGCATCATAATTCTTTTCACATCTTCATAAATTTCTGCAGCTTCTTCTTCATCATCTGTACCATGAATCAAATCATCTACGTAAAAATTTCTTCAAGAAGCTGACAGATCTTCGAATATTGTGCTTTCAACTTTCTTGCGTGATGCTTTATAGTTGCTGCTAGTAAAAAGGGGCTACAGGTTGCTCCGAATATTACACGCGTCATTCTTAAAATCGTCGGTTGCTCCTTTTCCTTTGAAGTCCAAAAGAAATCTTACTGCATTTCTGTCCTCAGGCTTCAACAGAATTTGTAGAAAAGCAGCTTCGATATCTGCAGCAAATGCTATTTTGTGTTGACGAAATTTAATTAGCAAATCTAATAATTCGGGGTTTAAATTTGGTCCTGAATGTAAGCAATCATTTAAAGATAAACTGTCATGAGTATGCGAGGAAGCATCAAATACGACCCTTAATTTCGTAGAATCGTGATTCTCTCTGATTACACAATGGTGTGGCAAATAATAGATGTTTTCTTCAGAATTCTTCGGAGCCTTTTCAGCTATTCTTTTATTTAGATAATCTTCAATTACCCTTGAATACTTGTCATAAATTTCAGGATTTTTCTTAAACCTTCTAAGTAAACTGTTCCATCTGTTTAAGGCGATGTTATAATTACTACTCATTTTGTTCATATTGTCCTTCCAAGGTAATGAAACTTCATAACGATTGTTTTTATATTCAGTAGTTTCTTCAAATCTACGCATAACTTCAGTGTCATTTTCATTTGCTGAATAGTCATGTATTCCAATTGCATCTAAATCCCATAGCCTTTTTAGAGCTGC